GGATCATTTATGTGTTTTTATGTTATTAATTGCTCAAATTAATAGCTAATATGTAGATGTACGCATGCGGTGCTGTAACTTTGGAGATTTTATTTATCATTGTTCAGTACTTTTATAAATTAGTCAAATGTGCTCGTTCTCTAGCAACTCAGTTATAAAAATGAATTGATATCCTAATTTATTTGTATGGAAAATATATTTTTTGTCTAGATATATAGCAATTTTTCCATTTAAAAAAAACATAAAATCACAAATTGTATTTACATACTATTTGAAACCTCTTTGTAGACAACATTGGTAGTAACAACACAATCTTGTCTATCTTCGTCTAGAGCTAACACCTTTAGTCCAAAAGGATGGGTGACTCGGGTGAAAATATATAACGGTAGAATTTCAGTCAATTAGTGATCCTTTTATATTTTCAGTCAATTAGTAATATCAAATTCATTTTCAGCCAATTATTCTTTTTTATTTTTACTTTTTTTTAGTCAATTAGTCAATTAGAATATTAGATGCATTGATATTTTTACCTAATTTCTGTTCCAGTTATAATTGATAATGTAGAATATTTTTATTAAAATATTTTCGTTGTATTTTTAATTTAACTTTACTATTGTTTAAAATATGCATTTATTATTGATGATGTAGAATATTATTACTGAAATATTTTGTCCAATTTTTAATTTCTGTTCCATTTTTTAATTAAAATGCAATGATCTGTCAATTTATTTTTTCATTTCAATTATGGATCATTTTTCATTTGTAGTCAATTATTAATATTCATTTCCTTTTATAATTTCAGTCAATTACTAATACCAGATTCATTTTCAGACAATTATTCTTTTTTATTTTCAGTCAATTAGTTAATTAGAATATCAGATGCAGTGATATTTTTACCTATCTGAACCATTTTTAATTAATGATGTAGAATATTTTTATTGAAATATTTCCGTTCCATTTTTAGTTTACCTTTACTATTGTTTAAAATATGTCTTTACTATTGATGGTGTAGAATATTATTATTGAAATCTTTCCTTTTCATTTTTTATTTACTTTTACTTTATGATGTATGATATTATTATTGAAATATTTCCGTTTCATTTTTGATTTATGTTTCATTGCTTGAAATTGTGAAATATTTATGATATAATTGTGATTTAATTTATTCTACTCTGTAATATTATTGTGAAAAATTAAAATACAATAATCAGACAATTTTCTTTTTCATTTTAGTCAATTATGGATCATTTTTTATTTTTAATCAATTATTAATATTCATTTCCTTTTACAATTAACCTAATTTCTGTTTCTTTTTTCATTTTTAATTTTCAGTCAATTATTAATATTCATTTATTTTCTAATTTAACTAATTTTTGTTCCATTTTTAATTAATAATGATGTAGAGAATTATTGTGAAATATTTATGTTCCTTTTTTAATTTACCTTTACTATTTACTATTGTTTGAGCGGGAAATCAAGTAAATAGAATTTTGTTTTTAATTATATTATAGATTATAGATTATAGATTATAGATTTTCCAGCAATCCAAACACTCTGATCCCTTAGTATCCCATCAAAAAATGGATAAAGAAAAGTCATTTCATTAATAAAATTAAAAATAATTAAATTAAATCTAATAATGCTATATTTATTTGTAACTATATATTAATTTCATTTTGAAATCATTGGTTCACATATTTGAATTATTTATTTTTTCTTTAATTATTATAAACAGAAATAATACTGTACTAATTAATTTATGATATTTATCAAATTATATTTTTAAAAAATATAAGATTTACACATGTTATGAGGGGTTAAAACATATTTTAAAATTATTTTTTATTAGTAAGTATTTTTATTTTTAAAATATTTTTCAGCGGCCCACACACTCCCTTAGACTCCCATAAAAGTAATAAAGAAAAGTCATTTCATTAAGAAAATTAAAACTAATTAAAGTACATCTAATAATGCTATATTTATTTGTAAATGTATATTAATTTTATTTTGAAATCATTGGTTCACATATTTGAATTATTTATTTTTTCTTTAATTATTATAAACAGAAATGATATTGTAGTAATTAATTTATGATATTTATCAAATTGTATTTTTAAAAATATAGTGTTTTACCGGCAATTTATATCATGCACCAGGGCGCGCATTGCATTGTGCGCCCTATGCAATACATAACTGTATAAAAGATACACATAATTGTATAAATAAATACACATAATTGTATAAACAAACATACATAACTGTATTAAAAAAATACACATAATTGTATAAATAAATACACATAATGATATAAACAAATACACATAATCACGTCAACCCCCTTCCGCGCCTCCCAAAACGACGTCGTTTTGAGAGACGCGGGACGCACAGTGCTGAGCACGCCGTGGTGCAGGGTATAACGATTGTGTTTTACCCGTGCGTTGCACGAATTTTTTTTTTTTATATTATGAATTTAAAATTAAAAATAGAAAACAATGAAAATATATTATAATGTACAATATAATAATATATTTGGACTTTTATATATTTGGTCAAGTATCTATTTTCATAATATACAAAATTTAAATTTAAATTTTGTATGGTTAATGTTTTTTGGTGTGAGAATTTTTTTTGTATGGTTAATATAATCTCTAATCATGTTGTATATTTAGATAAATTTATTAAAAAAATCACATAATTAAGTTTATTTATTCCTAATTGTATTTCATATATATTATAATTTTAAAAATATGAATACTAACTAAGAGAATTATATTTAGAAATCAATAAAAAAATGTAAATTCTAAATTTTGTATGAATAAATTTAAACTCTAATCGGACACATTTCTTTATATGATTGTATAATACATTGTATATACACATAACATTTATTAATATGTATATAGAAAAATTCTATAATATAATTTCATTGATTATAATTTATATTGATAGATTTATAATTAAAAAAATTACATTTAGAAATTTAAAAAGTAGCATTTAAATATTGTATGATTATTATAGTGTATAATTGTATGATTATTATAGTGTATAATTGTATGTATATTTTTTAAAAAAAATTATAAATATTCATGTTTTGTTAATTTTATACTTTCATTTCTTTAATTATATTTCATATTTTATTAATTATAATTTAATGAAATTGTCACAAATATTTCAAGGGAAGAAATCTTATATTTCTCAGTTTCAATAATTATATTAATTATAATTAATAAATATTATTACCATAATAATTTCATTAATTATATTAATTGAAGCATGTGCTCCATCTCAACTAAAAGCCTAAGCTGTAGTTGGATACACCCCCTCACGTGTATGGTGGAGTCCAACCAACACATGGACCGGTAAACCATAGTCGCTTACGAGTGGCGTTGAGATTTGAACCCTTAACCTTTGGTCTGACTCTGATACCAAATTGAAGTATGTGCTCCATCTCAACTAAAAGCCTAAGCTGATAGTTGGATTGCACGTTAATGGCTATATGCTCACAATATTAATTCTAATATTTGTTCTCTTCCAATATTTAAACACATTACCATAATTATCATAATAATTACACGAAAGAAGGAAAGAAAATTATTAGAATAATTACCATTAATAAAAAATAGAAAATTATATTAAAAATTAATTATATATTAAGGTAAGTATAATTTATTTTATGCCAATAATATTATACATTAAGTATATATATAATTATAGAAACGGAGATATAATTTTAAAAAGTAAATTATTAATTAGATTACCTAATATAATTGTCCTACTAATTGATTCCATACTACTATGTATAATTCATATATTTGAATTTTTTAAAGCTAAATACTTATTAATTACCTTAATAATTAAGATAATTTTTAGTCAATCAATATTCAATAGTACTAAGTGTATTACTTCGAATTTTTATAAATAAGATATAATATTATTAAATCAAAATAATTAAAATAATGTGTCCATATTACAAAAGATTTTATAATAGTAATTTTTATTGCATAATAGAATTTGTCAATTATTAAACATTGTTTATGGTAATTATTGTATGACATTTAATACTAAGATTATTAGGTATAATTTTTATAATTAAGGTATAATATTATTAAATCAAAATGATTAAAAATAACGTATCCAAAATATAAAATAAATTATACTTGTCTTAATAATTATTTATTAATATAAATTTACAATTATAAATTTGTATACGAAAAAACATAGAAACTGAAACTTCTGGTTAAAAAAAATAAAAAAATAAAAAAAATAAAATAAATAAAAAAACTCTCCATTTCCCTTTTTTTTTGGGGTCACCAATGGATTGTATTTATAGGTAGAGAATGTGAGAATTATAAATTAATAATATAAAATTTCATTTTCCATTTCCGTTTCTATTCAGTCAATTAGAAATTTTTTATAATTTTCAGCCCATTAATAATATACATTTCCTTCTTCAATTTGCATAATTTCAATTTCGTTTTCCAAATTCGTGTTTCATATGTTATTCCCATACATAATATTCACGTTACTATAAATTGATTAGCAATTAATACATTTACAATATACCATAATTATGCAATATTACCAATTGATACATTTTAATTAATTTACATTAAACATATGTTTACCACGGAAGAAAATGGGATATAATTTAAAAAGTAAATTATTAATTAGATTACCTAATATAATTGTCATACTAATTGATTCAATGGTTGTATAATTCATATATCTGTAGACTTTTAAAATCTAAATACCTATTAATTGCCACAATAATAATTAAGATTATTTTTAGTCAATTAATATTCAATAGTAAAAGTATTACTTTGATTTTTTATAAATAAGATATAATATTATTAAACCGAAATAATTAAAAATAATGTATCCATAGTACAAAAGATTTTATAATGCAAAATTTTATTGCCTAATAGAATTTGTCAATTATTAAATATTATTTATGGTAATTATGCTAAATTTACAACATCAAATAATATCTCAAAATCAACTAAATACTTAAAACTGAAATTACTATACAATAATATTTTCCTCAAAATAACAAATAATAAAACTTTATTCCTTCTCAACTTGTTCATCCCGAATTCCTATCCATGTTCACCTGTATAAATAATTTTACACAAAAACAGAATGTAGACAAAAATTAGCATAAGCTAAGTAAGTTTCACTTCACCCCGTAAAATAATGGTTTGAATTTTTTATATTTTCAAAACTCATATAATTTCATACTTTTCCAAAATACATGTGGAGTTATACATTTTCTTGTATGGAGAATAAATAGTTATTTATGGAGAAGTAACCAAACTTTTTGAAATCCACTTTGAAACTGGACTAAAACCTATGTGCACACCCCAGAAGATTCCAAACCACTGGGTAATATATATCCAAGTAGTTAGGTTTTCCTACCTACTACCACTCAAACAATTTGGAAACTGAATCATAACTTATGTGATACACTCTCATGTGATTCTAAGCTCAATGAGTAGTAAATAGTCCAAGTAAACATTACTCACTCTTACTTGGACACCACACAATATATTAATTTCTCAAAATTTCATTATTTCTCCACAAATAAATATTTTCTCCACAAAAATACAATTTTCTCCAGAATATATAATTTTCTCCAAATACATTTTTCAAAAAAAAAAAAAAAAAAAAAAAGAAATACAATTTTCTCAACATGATTTGTCCAAAATATAATTATAGTACATAATCCAGTATTAATACAATTTCACAATACTACTATGTATACAACACCAAAAATTTCAAGCCAAGTATTTACATAACGCACGAGTTCTACAAATCGAAACTCATTCTCGATATTTCGAGAATCACCACTCACAATATTACTATTTATCGATAAATGTACTTGTGTTCACATGAATAACATATATCATATAATATCACATATAATATCAATACATACAGTACTCGGGGAAAATAATAATTTTGGTGAATATAAAATCTTACCCTCAAAGGCAAACTTTCTATAATCTTAATAGCATCCTAACCACCTTGATAAGAAACCTGCATGTGAATCAAATAAATCCAATAATAATAATAAGCGAAGCATATTATTCATTGATCATCATCATCATCAATGTCAACAGACTTAGATTTAAACAAAAGAATTTGGAGAGTAGAAACAATTACCTGAAGTAGATATTAAGTGAATGAGTTTTGCTAGGATTGAAGAAAACGTACGAATATATTAAAAATCATGAAGAACCAGTAGTGTGAGGGAAGATGAATGAATGCCAAAGTCTAAAAATTTGTATTTATAGGTGAAAAATAGTAATTCGAAAGGAAAGTATAATAATTTATTTAAAAAATATAGAAAGTAAAGTAAGTATGGTAATAAAATTATTATTATTATTATTAGTATATATAGATTAAATTAAATATTAATTGTATATAATGTCTATATATATATATCACACAGAATATTTACTATATTTAATTATTTAATTATTCTTTTACTACCTAATTTATATATTATTACTATCAATATATACATCTAATATATATATATATATATATATATATATATATATATATATATATATAATATCACACGTATATATAAATGACTATATATATAAATTTTTATATCTATAATTATTATTTCAATATATATGAATTTACAAAAATGACCTTAAGTTTTGGGGGAAAAATTGGTTTGGAGGATTTTACTTATATATATATATATATATATATATATATATATATATATATATATATATATATATATACTAGTGTAAAATCAACAAATCACCATTAATTATCAATTCATTTAATCTTGGAGCTTAAATGCTTAATCCATGTGGAGCGTTTATGCATTTATATATGTACGTTATTTACGTACTCCATTGAATATGGCATTGTTGGTCTACTGCATTAAATCACATTTTCCCGTACTCTCCGAATCCATTTGAAAACTAGGAAAGTATTTACTAAAGATTATTTTCAGAAAATGACTCATTTTTAAAAATTTATTTTAATTTTCTTGTGTTTGAATAAATGTCAGAAATTTTGTTTTTTCTATTTTGCTAAAAGTTAAGAGTTACATTTTTTTTTTTGTTATTTTCTTGAAAATGCTCTATTATTTTCATAAAATGACTCAGTGAGAAAGTAGTTATGAATTGCTCACATCCTAACTAAGGTAGTAGGCTCTCGGTCTTCCTAGTCTCTGCGTATTTTGCATCTCAATCATTAATATATTTGACCTCGTTGTTGGCTTTCAAATAAATTGAACATTTTTTTTTTAAGATCTTAGATGGGTCAGACTAAGATATTTAGAAGTCAACTTTCAAGTGACCAAACAGATACATGTTAAAAAAAAAAAAAAAAAAACATGGGTTAGTGCATCTCTCCCGTGCAAGGACAAAGGAGGGGAGAGAATTGCTCCAAAGAGACTCTTCTCTCCAATCTAGAGAAAGTTTGACAACGTGCACATGTCAATTCGATGTGTATGCGTTGTGGTGCATTAGTATTCGGTTGCTCCCCTATGTGGGAAGTCTAGGGTTAACTAAAGATCAGATGGACTAATTAATACCTTAATATTTCAATAGATGACAACTCAATCACCTTGCCAAAAGCGAAGTTTTGATGCATGTTTTGCAGAGCTTATTTAGGAACTTATAGCTTATTTTAAGCTACTAATAAGTCATAAGCTCTATGTCAGAAACAAGTGTAATTAGATTTTGATGATACCAAACTTGCTAGGATTATAGACCCCTATTTTCATTTTGTCTTAGAATTTTCGTTGCAAACGAAAACCATTGTAACTCAATAATGTATGATTCGCACTAAGTAGTACACGAATCTTGATTGAGACTAGCATGGTAGGTCTACTTGAAGACATGAAGACAAAGAGAAGAACGAGAGATCAACTTAGACCGAAAGATGGAAGGGTCTAACTCTCGAACAATCATCAAATGACTAAGAAGGTCATTATTCTAGAGAAGATCGAAAGATAAGTTCAATCTCTCGAGTAACCTTTTCGAGACAACAAGTCTAAGTCAGATTTGTAAAGACAACTTTTATTAAGTGAAGCAAGAAGAATGTTGTCTATGTCTCATAGCTAGGCAATCATCCTAGACAAAATGATATTCACATAAATCAATGAGCATTAAATGATTGGTACCATCTTGTTAGTGAAAAGGACAAAAAGCCATGGTGCTTTTTATCATTAACGGCTACATAGTACAACCATATTAAATGCTCCATGGCCACTGGTCATTACTCGCTGGTTAATAGGTTCAAAATTTCATCTCCCTCCAATGGATGAATTTTTCCTCACCTATAAATATCTTTCTTCTCCATTGAAGAATGTGTTGATCGTTCAACAGATTTTATCCTTAGAAAAGCTCTTTAAACAAAGTTCATTCATAAGCTTTTCATGATCAGCGTGGTACATTTGTGAAGATTTCAAAGAGGATCATCCTACATCTACACTTCACAAACTTGAAGAAGTCTTGCATCTTTTCTCAAGTGAAGATTCATCTAGTCAACAAGGCAAGACTTCAACGTGTTTGGAGAAACATAGCATTATCTTTCCAACACTCAACTCTGTGGAAAGAAGTCGATGAGTTAAAAAAAACCTACCAAGTAGCTGTCCGACTTAGTGATCAAAGAAGCTAAGCTTGAAGTAGTTTGTACTAGGAGTGATAGAGCAAACCCTTTCACAAGTTGTGGAAGAAGAGTGGAGTAGACATTGTTAATAGTCGAACCACTATAAAAAATCTCTCTTTACTTACAGCTGATTATCTTTCGTGCATTGCATCTCATACTGACCCAACGATAATTCCTCATAACGAAACTGTGCAAAGTTCAAGTTAAAACAAACTATTTATTTCGTTGCGCGTCACTCCGAAAGGAGTTGCTTTGAAAAATTGAGCAGAGTCTATTCAACCCCCCCCCCCCCCCCCCCCCCCCCCCTCTAAACTCTTCTTTAGTTCTTTTGACCCTACCGGGACCAACACTCTGTTTGGTAATGTTTCAAGAATAAGCTAGTAGCTTAAAATAAGAGCTTATTTTGAAAAGCTACCTTAAATAGCGTTTCAAAAATAAGTTAGGAGCTTTCTAACTTTTTTCCATCTTTATTCTTATTATTTTAAATAAATGACATCTATTACCCTTCCTAATTAAAACCCTTTTTTGCATTTTTTTCTTCTCTTATATTTTTATTCATTCTCTTCCGCAACTTTTCCACTACAAAAATAAAAAAATAAAAAAAATCATAATTTAACGACATTAATTTAGAGGTGGTTTCTAATTAAATATTTAGTGGCGGTTAGATTAATCGTCGGTATTTAATAATTGAAAACAAATTTTTGTCACTATTTAAAAAAGTATTTAAAACAAATCGTCGGTATTTAATCGTCGGTATTTAAAAAAGTGTTAGCTGTAATTTACCGTTGTCACTATTAAGCTCCTAATCCAAATCTTTGAAAGATAGCCAGTAAAAACCAGCGGTGGTTGCTTAATTCAGTAGCTAAATAAACTTAAATGCATGTTAAATTTGAATCATTATATGCTTTTTTAACTGTTTTCATTTGATTGTTTGTATCCAAAAGTTATAGTTTGCATATAGATTGCATATCATGCATGTTTGCTAAGGTATGTGATGGAAAGGTAAAGGTCTCTAACCGCTCTTAGCTAGTTAGCTACATGATTTGTTATTTCTTAAGAAAAATTGCATCCTAATAATAAGAAGCAGAACTAGAATGAGATAAGTTCTCTTTGACCAAATGATTTACAGATTGTTGTGATACTGAAGATGTGAATCATCATCTTCGGATGTATGTTCTGTTGGGAAAATTAAAGATGAAAGCATTTAATGTTGGTCCATGTCCACCTACACCCCTTTGACTTTGTCATTGGAATAAGAAATGGAGAATCCATTTCATTTCATGGGCGCACAGTGCGCTCCTTTGTAAGGAGCAGCGCCTTTGGCGCTAAAGTGTGGACAACACACTGTGTCCGTTATGTGGGTGGGATGGAAGGGCTGCTTACTATAAATAGCAGCTCCGAACATCGTTTCAAAACACACCTTGAATTCGAGTCCTTTATTCGATTCTCCTTTTCCTCCCGTCGTCTGAGCAATAGTGAGGTTCGCCTACGCGATTGCTAGTGCAAGCTATCCGTAGTAGGTCTGTGTAGCCGGTCGAAAGCGTGCCAGGGTTCTAACTGCACCGTTACCCGGCAAATAACGCTTTTAAGGTAGTGTTATTATAACACGGCACAGATTTTCTTTCTACCATACATCCGTAGTGTCCGTGCGTCTTAAAAGGCTTCCAGATCGCGCGTTGGCGTTGCAATTTTCCCCAACAGTTAAAAGCGTTATTTTGCAACAGTCAACCTTTAGCATTATGACACCTTCTGTCATACCGGATCTATCAAAGATCACCGCGCTTGATGGGAGAAATTACAACAGATGGGCTCAAAGAATGCTTATTCTTTTTGAACAATTAAAGTTGGTTTACGTGCTATTTTCAGTTGCACCTGAACCTACTCCAACAGTGTTCTCTCCGTTTGGTGCTACAAAATGTAATCATGAACCTGATTACACTCCGGGTAAAGAATCGAGAGAAAGCAGTCCTGAAATAGATTACATTCCGGGTCAAGAACCGGGTGTAACTCTGACTCAATTCAGAAATGACAATGCGGCAGCCAGAGGATACCTACTGTCACAAATGAATGACGAATTGTTCGACATCTATGTCAAACAAGATTCGGCAAAAGTCATTTGGGAATCACTGTCAGAAAAGTACGGTGCCAATGGAAATGAAAATCAAAGTGTCAGAACCGTCTACAACGAAAGGAGTAGAAAAATCAAGAAGTTTAAAGGAATGTGTTTTGCGTGCAGAAAGCAAGGACACCGAGCACACCAGTGCTACCATCACAAGGGCAAAACCAGCAAAAGTCAATCTGACAGAACAAGATGAGTATTGAGTCTCTTTAAATAAATAGTTATTTTGAGTAACTATTTTTGCTCTGGTTCTAAGGGTTCGCATGAAGTATGG